TAATTATTAATTATTAATTGGAAACCACATAGTGGCATTATCTGTAATTTACTCAAAATCTCAGGTCATTTCTATAAACACTCGCACTCAAATTCCCCTCCCCCATCCAGATTTCTCTTCACTCAGTTCAGTTATATCTGTAATTCTGTACCGCAAAAACGCAGAACTCTTTCCACTGCTTCCACGGAAAAACTGTTTTATCTGCCAGAATGCAGCTCCGCCTCGCCGCCGTTGTGGTGGTCGTTGTTCTATTCTTCTCCGCCACCACCGACGCCCACAATATCACCCGCATCCTAGCTAAGTTCCCTGAGTTCTCAACCTTCAACCACTACTTAACCGAGACCCACCTGGCGGAGGATATAAACAACAGGGAAACAATCACCGTGTGCGCAGTGGACAATGCCGGAATGTCGGATCTACTAGCCAAACACCTCCCTGTCAGCGGCATCAAGAACGTGCTGTCCCTTCACGTGCTCCTCGACTACTTCGATGCCAAGAAGCTCCACCAGATCACCAACGGCACAGCGCTCGCTGCCACTATGTACCAGGCCACCGGCTCCGCCGCTGGATCCTCTGGCTTCGTCAACATTACCGATATGAAGGGAGGAAAAGTCGGCTTCTCCCCCAAGGACAATGGCGGCGTCATCCATGCTACCTTCGTCAAATCAGTCCACGAAATCCCCTATAACATCTCTGTCATTCAGATCTCCAACATATTGCCTTCTTCCGAGGCTGAGGCGCCTACTCCAGCCCCCAGCCAGCAAAATCTCACAGCTATAATGTCTTCTCACGGCTGCAAAGTTTTCGCTGAAACTCTCCTAGCTAATCCTGCTGAAAAGACATATGAGGATGCTATTGGCGGTGGATTAACCATTTTCTGCCCTGGAGATGATGTCATGAAGAACTTTTTACCTAAATACAAGAATTTAACTGCTGCAGGGAAGCAAGCTCTGCTAGAATTTCACGGAATTCCGATTTACCAGCCATTATCAGGTTTAAAATCTAGTAACGGCCTTACCAATACACTGGCCACTGATGGTGCCAGCAAGTATGATTTCACCGTACAGAATGATGGAACTGAAGTAACCTTGAAGACAAAGCTCGTTACTGCGAAAATCATCGATACTATAATAGATGAGCAGCC